TTTTTTTTTTGAAAAATTTTATGGAAATCTAAATTTTTATAAAACATAAAGATATGAATTACTCCGAGTCGAAGACTCAGTGATTTATATCTTCATGTTTTATAATAATATTCTTATAAGTTGTTGAATTTAAAAAATGTTTGAATTTGAATATTTTGAAGAATTTTAATTCCTATTAAAAAATAATAATTAAATACTTATTTAAAAATTTAGTTATTGATTTTTGCGAATAACTTTACAATTTTAGAAATTCTTATGTAAATGTAATAGAATTTTTTTTTTTTTTGAGTATCTAATAATTTTTAGAGTGAATCAGAATATTATTAAGGGTCAGGAAAAAAGTCAAAAATTTTTCTGTAAATCAGGGAAAAGTCAGGGAAAAATAAAATTAATTTTTTGTAGCAACCTTGATAAATGTTTTTTTAATGCAGTTGATTGCAAAACTAGCATAAAACATAAGTACATAAAATAGATAAAGTACCTAAAGTTAAAGTATATAAAGTACGTAAAGTTAAAGTATATAAAGTATAAGTATACAATAATGAAGAATATTAATAAAATAAACTGGTGTAAAATGATCGGAAATATATTCAATAGATTTTGTGTAATTAAATGTCGTATACTTTACGATTGGATAAAATTAGAATACTCAAATGCTATATTCATTCATTTATGTTTTCAGTGGTACACACTAACGTCACATTACTTCTTAATCGGGTGTGAATGAGGAATTGAGGTCCTATTAGGAGTAGAATGCAAATTAGAAATCATACAACACTTTTCCTCTAACTTTCATCCGCTAAAGTCAACAAGGCAGTTTAATATGCGCAATAAAATAATTATCTCCCATTTCAAATTTAGATTAAAGGCAAAATTTCATTGCGGATTGAAATAGATTTTTAAATAAAGATCAGTTTCTTCCTGAACCACCAAAAAAAAAAAAACTTTACCTGTATAGTTGAAACTATTTTAATAGCTTGAAAATAAAAAATAAAAAATAGAAAATAGAAAATAATAAATGTAAAAATATAAAAATATAAAAAAATAAAAATATAGAAATAAAATAAAAATAAAATATAATAAAAAATATGAAAAATACATTTTTATAAAAATATGAAAATATATAAAAGTTAGCTCTGAGGCAAGTATATATTTTTTCCGCTGATCCAAAGTATGAATGATTAATACGGATGGATCCAAAGTGGATCAAATTAATACCAAACTTCTGAATCAATTTATGATTCAAACCCACATGTTTGGTATCAATTTGTTGAAATTTAATATTTTTGAGTCAACAGTATTTGTTAATTTTTTTTCAACATTTCTTCTCAGTGCAGTGTGATTGCAAAATAAGAGAATATTTTCACATGGAAAAAAAGAGAGATGACACGTTGGTCAAAAAAAAAAAAAAAAGTTGGTAAATTTTCCAAGTTTAGTTAAAGAAAAAAGGAAAAAAAAAGAATCTGTCGCTTTTGAAAACTGACCAATGCATGCATTTTCGATCTTTTTAAGATGAAGCACCACTGAACTAAGACAGGTTGCATCTCTGGTAAACATACAGCGAAAGATCTCGCACCTAGGTGCGACCACCTTGAGATCTGACTGCGTAAACATTAGTCTGAAGTTTATGTTACTGTCTCAAATTCTTTATGCTTCGAAAAGACATCCCTATGACCACTACATATATATATACATATAAATACTTAAATTTCAATGTCTCGAGAGACAAGTTTTTTCTTTCTCTCTTAATATACATTTCAGAATCGTCGCCTTTCTATTATTTTTCAAAAGAAAAAATTCTTAATATAAATCTACTAATTCTTAAGAATTTAATTATTATAAATTTTATTATCAGTTTTATTATTAATCAATTTTATTTTTTTTTATCATTATTAATCATTGATCAACAGAAATTAAAAAGATGCTGTTTGCATTTTTGTTTCCTAACTTTTTTAATAATTTTTCTTTTTAAATATTTTTAATTTGAAAAATAATGTATTGAAAATCATTGAATTTTTGAAAAGAATTTTGTCAAAAAATTGAAGAATAACTGACTTTGCAATCGATAATTAATTTTAAAAAAGTGGCAAAAAGTAGCTTTCAAATTAAAAGTAAAGTAGTAAAAAAGTAGCTATCGAAAAATTAAACTTGACGATCAAAAAAACTCGTTTTAGAAACTTCACAAAACTGACAAAAATTCTATTTTATATTTTAATTTCATGACTTTTTCCTAATTTTCAAAAAACGATATTTACTTCTTTCTTATCCTGATAATAAATTGAATTCCTATAATGAATTTTATTATTAATGAAAGAATTTAAATATTTATAAAAATAATTTAATTCTTCCAAAGAATTTTAGAAACATTTTTAAATAATTTATGTCTTTCGATTAATTTTATGCAAATTCTAATTTAAATAATTGAATTCTTGTGAAATTTTTATTTTTCGTGAAAAGAATTGAATTCTTAAGATAAGATTTTTACAAAAAGATTTTTAAATAATTGAATTCTGTTTGGAAATTTTTAAAAAAAAGTAGATATTAAAAATCATTGAATTACGAAAAGTTTTAAAAAATAATTAAATTTTACAAAGAATTTTATTAAAATTTCTGACAATAATTGAATGTCTGCGTTGTATTTTATTAAAACTTTTTGAAAATAATTGAATTGTTGCGAACGATTTTATTAGAATTTTTTAAAATATTTGAATTCTTGAGAAAAAATTTATTACTTTTAAAAATAATTGAATTCTTGTGATGAATATTGTTATTTATGAAAATAATTGAATTTTGCAAAGAATTTTATTAAAATGCCTCAAAATAATTGAACTTTTGGGAATAATTTTGTTATTTATTAACATAATTGAATTTTTTCGAACAATTATTTATGTAAATAATCGAATTCTTAGGAAGAATTTTATTAAAATCTAAAATAATAATTGAATTATTTCAAAAATATTTAATTAAAACTGTATTTAAAATAATTCATTTCTTTCAAAGAATTTTATTACAATATTTAAAAATAATTGAATTCCTGTAAAATATTCTATTATTTTTGTAAATAATTGAATTCTTCCAAAGAATTTTTTAAAAAATATTTTTTGAAATAATTGTTTTTTCATGGAATTGAAATTAAATTTTTTAAGAATAATTACATTCTTTGAGCAATTCCTGTAAAGTTTTATTAAGAATAATTGAAATTCAGCGATGAATTTTATTATTTATGAAAATAACTGAATAATTGCAAAGAATTTTATTAATATTTTCAAAAATGATTAAATTTCTGAGAAAAAGTTTATTATTTATGAAAATAATTGAATTCTTGCGAAAAATTTTATTAAAAAATTTTAAAAGAATTGAATTCCTGTGAAATTTGTATTATTCATGAAAAGAATTGAATTCTTAAGAAGATTTTTACAAAAAATTTTTTAAATAATTTAATTCTGTTTGGAAATTTTTTAAAAATAGTATTTATTAAAAATCATTGAATTACAAAAGGTTTTTGAAAATAATTAAATTTTACAAAGAATTCTATTAAAATTTTTGAGAATAATTTAATTGAATATCTGTTTGACATTTTATTAAATTTAAAAAAAAAAATTCAATTCCTAAAAAGCATTTTATTATATTTATGAAAATAATTGAATTCTTGCAAATGATTTTATTAAAATTTTTTTAAATAATTGAATTTTCACTAAGAAATTTCTTACTTTTAAAAATAATTGAATTTTTGTAATGAATGTTGTTATATTTATGGAAATAATTAAATTTTGCAAAACATTTTATTAAAATGCTTCAAAATAATTGAATTTGCGGGAATAATTTTGTCATTTATCGATATAATTGTAATACTTTCGAACAATTATTTATGTAAATAATTAAATTCTTTGGGAAGAATTTTATTAAAATCTAAAAGAATAATTGAATTATTTCAAAAAAATTTAATTAAAATTGTAAATTGTATCAAAAATAATTGAAATCCTGCGATGAATTTTATTTAAAGTTTTTAAAATAATTGAATTCCTAAGAAGAATTTTATTAAAATTATCAAAAATAAATTGAATTCATGCGAAGAACTTTATTAAATTTCTTTTATAAATAATATTGAATTCTTGCGTAGAATTTTATCAAAATCATTTTAAATAATTGAATTCTTTCGAAGAATTTTAATTAAATTCCTGAGAAGGTTTCTTTATTATTTATGAAAATAATTGAATATTTGCGAAAAATTTTATTTAAAAATTTCACAAAAGAATTGAATTTCTGTGAAAAATGTTGTTATTTTTAAAAATAATTTAATTCTTTTGTGAAATTTTATTAAATTAGTAGATTTTGAAAATATTTGAATTCAGCGATGAATTTCATTATTTGTGAAATGTAATTGAATTCTTGCAAAAAATGTTTGAAAATAATTACATTTTTCGAGGAAAATATTTAAAATATTGTATTAAAAATATTATTTAAATCCTCTATGAAAAATTTTATTACTTATGATAATAATTGAATTTTCACAGCGAATTTTATTACATTTTTTTAAATAATTGAATTGATGTGGAAAATTGTATATGAGTTATAAAAATAATTGATTTCTAGCGAAGGATTTTATTCAAATTTTTGTAGATAATATAATTTTTCTTTTAATTTTATGGAAAATTTTATGAATATTGCGAGCGATCACTCGATTTCTTTATGTTTCATAATAATTGAATTTCAAAAGGTTTAAATTTGAAATTTTTGAAAATCTTAATTAAAAAAATAAAAATAATTATTGTTTGTCATTGATGCTTTCTAATATTTTTACAATTAAAGAAATTCGTAAATAAATGCAGTAGAATATTTTTTTGAGTATCTAATAATTTTTAGAGTAAATCAAAATATTCTTTAGGATCAGGGAAAAAATCAAAATTTTTGTTTGGAAATCAGGGAAAAGGCAAAGAAAAGCAAAATGAATTTTTTAACAGATTATTATATAGTTAATTAATATATAGAGTACAACTCACCGAGGGAATTGAGTCCGTAGCTCGTTTGATAGACACTTTGCGACGGACTACTGATCGGCAAACCGGAATTACTGAGACTTAAACTTGAACCAAGAGTTCCGGTACTTTGTTGACTTAGTTGTCCGAGACTTTGACCGAAGCCACCCATTGTCATTCCACCTTGACTCAATTGTCCTAGACCTGAGTTTGAAAAAGCAGAAAAATGAACTATAATTGCAGGTTTATTTAGAAAAAGTTCTTCTAATGAATTCATTTAATATCACGAATTTGGATATCCGACCTGGAGCCATTCCCCATCGATCGGTGGGCGCGTGAAACATGCCCGCTGCACCGCACAATTCCGAACTCATGGCCGCGAAAGGCGGAAAACTATGCGACGGTACAAGTCCACCCGGCGATCGTAACATGCCGCCAGTCTTCTTGCGCTTCTTCCATTTCGCCCTTCGATTTTGGAACCAAACCTGCAATTAAAAAAGAGAAAATTACTTTTTTTTTATTGAATTATAAATTAATTATTTTATCCTAGACGAAATTTTGTTTCGAAACAAGAAATTTTCCCTTTTGAACAAAGGTTTTTGTATGAAACAATTGGCATAAAACAATTATTTCCCGAATAGAAGGAATAACTTTATTAATAATTCGAAAATATTCCAAATTGAAAATTAATAATTCTTTTAAAAAAATTTAATAAAGTTTATAATAAATTATAATAATTTCAATTATTTTTAGTATTATTTTAGATGAATTCCTCAAAGAATGTAATTAATCTTAAAAATTTTATTAAAATTCTTCGAAAGAGTTCAATAATTTACAAAAGAAATTTAATAAAGTTCTTCACATGAATTCAATTTATTTTTGAAATTTTTAATAAAATTCTTCTCAGGAATTCAATTATTTCAAAATATTTTAATAAAATTCTTCTCAGGAATTCAATTATTTAAAATTTTTTTAATAAAATTCGTGAATAATAAAACTCATTGCAGGATTTCAATTATTTTTATAATACAATTTTAAGTGAATTCTAGGAAAAATGTAATTATTACAAATTTAATATACAATTTTTTGAAAGAATTCAATTATTTAAAAAAGTGTTCTTATAATTTGTTTATTCGAATATAATAGTTATTTTTGAGACATTTTTAATTTAATTTCTTTAAGGAATTCAATTATTTTCAACAATTTTAATGAAATTATTTTTATTAATAATAAAATTTTCACAGGAGTTTAATTATTTTAAAAAGTAATTTTTACAAAATTTTTCCATATAAATCAATTATTTAAAATGATTTTTTCTTAAATTCTTGGCAAGAATTAAATTATTTTTATTAATAATAAAACTTATCCCAGGATTACAATCATTTTTAATAGAATTTTGAATGAGATCCTCGAAAAATGCAATTATTCTTAAAAATTTTATTAAAATTCTTCAAAAGAATTTAATTATTTTTTAAAATGAAATTTTCCAAAAGAATTCAATTAATTAAAAAAAATTTTCATTACACTCTAATCAAACATTCAATTATTTTCATAAATAGGTATTAAAACTCATGGCAGGATTTCAATCATTTTTAATACAATTTTTAATGAATTGATCGAAAAATGTAATTATTTTCATACAATTTTTGCAAGAGTTTAATTACATTTCACAAAAAATAAAATTCTTCGCTGAAATTCAAATATTTTCAAAATCTACTATTTAATATAATTTCTCAAAAGAATATTCAATTATTAAAAAAAAAAAATGTAAGAAAATTCGTTGCAAGAATGCAATTGTTTGTGTAAATAATAAAATTTTTTGCAAAAAATTCCAATTATTTTTAATACAATTTTAATAAAATTTCGTAAAAGAATTCAATTTTTAAAAAATTTTTAATGTTTTTCGAAAAAATTCAATTATTTAAAATTTTAATAAATCTTTCTAAACATTTCGATTGTTTTTATAAGAAGTAAAATTCATATAGCAAGAATTTAATTATTTCTATGAATAATAAAATTCTTCTCAGGAATTCAATTATTTTCAAAATTTTCACTGAAAATTAATAAAGAAATTTAATAATAATCTTGAATAAAGAATTTAATTAAGATTTTCAAAAATGTTAATAAAATTCTTCGCAAGAATTCAATTATTTTCGTAAATAATAAAATGCCTTTCAGGAATTCAATTCTTTTTGAAAATTTTAAGAAAATTATTAGCTGCAATTCAATTATTTTCATAAATACTAAAATTCATGGCAGAATTTCAATTATTTTTAATACAATTTTTAATTAATTGCTCGAAAAATGCAATTATTCTTAAAAATTATATTAAAATTCTGCGAAATAATTCAATTATTTTAAAAAAAAAATTGTATAAAATTCTTTGCAAGCGTTCAATTATTTTCATAAACAATAAAATTTTCACGGTAATTTATTAAAAAAAAAACAATATTTACAAACTTTTTCAAAAAGTATCAATTATTTAAAATGATTTTTATAAAATTTTGTTTGCAAGAATTGAATTATTTAAAAAAAGATTTAAGAATGTTTTTCATAAGAATTCAACTATATTTTCATAAATAATAATACTCATCGCATGATTTTAATTATTTTTATAAGATTCCATTGTTTATTTAATTACACTGTAAATTCTTTTAAGGAATTCAATTATTTAAAAAATTTTAATATGATTTATTAATTAGAATTTAATAGTTATTTTCAATGTATTTTAAATTAAATTTCTTGAAAAAATTTAATTATTTTCTAAAATTTTATGAATTAAATTATTCATAACAATTCCGTTATTTTCAACAATTTTGATAAAGCTCTTTTTAAGAATTCAATTTTAAAAAACATTTAATCATTCAATAAATTATTTACGTTTGTATTTAAATAATTGAATTCTCCTTGAATTTTTTGAGAAAAATTTTATAAAATTGAATTTCAAGTAAAATTTTACATAATAATTGAATTTGTGATTTTTGTTTTTTGAGCTGTATTAATTAATAATAATTTAATATTAGAAGCCTTATAGTGTGAATTTTGAGAAATAATTGAATGTCAAAGAATTTTTTTATTGAAATCTTTGAAAATGTTTATTGTTGTAAAACTGCAATAAGTTAAATTTTTCATTTTAAAAATAAAATGATTAATGTTTTTAATAATTTTTTTAAAATTAAAAAAAAAATGATTGAATTTTGGAAGAATTACAGTCTTAAGGCTTTTCATAATCCGTTTTGCTATACTTTTTTAAAATTATTTATGGAGTACGAAGCTTGGGTTAAAAATTCAGTTGAAAGTTCTATTGTAAATGGTCTGCGAGTCAATCAAGGGTATTTATTTTTTAGTATTAATTTAATCTGTTATTTTAATTAATTTTTTTTTTAATTTTTCAATGATTACTTAATTGCTTTTTGTTATTTTGACCTTTATCAGATATTTTCGTTTCTTATTCGAGAGAATTAGTTTTGGAATATGATACACATTATTCTTCCTTTTTTTCGCCAACTTTTTTCGGATAGGGAAAAAAATAAAAAGAGTCGGAGTAGGAGGGGGAGGGGGAATGAAATAAGGTGTTTTCTTGGTGTTAGGACACAATATCTTCGACCCCCGTGTACCGGTAGCTATTAGCCAACGTTATGAGCTGTTGATTCTGGCCACGTAGTGGCCCCCTTAAGCTCGGGGGGTCTCGGGGACTTGATTTATTGATATCGCATGCAAAGCCCGCCTCTGCGTTCTCCGATATACCCCTCCGACCATAGACTATATAGTCCCTTTCCTGCTTTGCTCCTGGCCATAGCATGCATAGCCCGTTTCATACGTGCCCATAAATTAGTACTCTAGCATTAATGCGCAAGCGTATATATATATACACACACTACATAACGTTGAATGTGAACAAGAGAGAGAGAGAGGGCTGCCAACAAACACTACCCTGCTGGTGCTAACATACTAGGATTATACGAATCTAATTGGATATATGGGATTTACACATTCTACTCCATTTCCCAGGCACTGCTTTCTACTCGTGAAACAATCGTTGCATTTCTTGTCAAGATGCATTTTCTTTGACTGTCATTTTTCATTATTCTTTATCAATCTTATTTCTTTTTAGGATCACTTGTTCATTTTTTTTCCCCTCTAATTAATATTGTCTCATTTTTTTTCTATTTTGATGATTTCTTTCCTTTTTCATCTCCCTAAATTTGAATCGAGTCACTAATTTAGCCACAAAATGAATCACTAATTGACGTTAATAAAAAAAAACACTAATTGTACTGTTTCCTAAACCGAGATTTTGAATTAACTATAATAATTTGAATGTTCTTTCATTCATTCATTCACTTTTTCTGTCCCTCACACTCTGAAGTTGTCTTTTGTTTTTTGTTAACTTTAGATATTAACTTATGATATTAACTTAGATATATTAAGATATTAACTTTAGATAGTATATTATATTATTATGTTATAATTATTACTTCCTCATAGAGGAAGTATTGTAATACCAAAATTTTTCGAGTTCGATTTTTTGACATATCTTTATGTTATTTGACCTCAGGAGTTTTCAAAAATGTCATTCCGTATGTGTGTGTAAGTGTGTAAACATCAAATTTTCATAAATATCTCGAAATCATGAAGAGCTTTTGGGTTGAATTTTTTTTTAAATTGTAGATTTCACCTGCGGACATAAGATAAGAGTACTTTGTGATAAATTAATAAAGTTTAACTATTTTTTTTTTTGGATTTTTAATTTTGCAAAAAAACGTTTTTTGCCCATAACTTTAAAAAAATGTTAGGACACCTATAAATGTTTTTCCATAATTTTGTAGAGTTTTTTAGACGCATCTTTTGAGCCCTAATTGAACATGTTTCGTCCATATTAACCGGAGATATTAAACTTTTAAGAATCAAAAATTTTGTAAAATAAGACTTTTTTGAAAATTTTGTTGAAAAACGTAGAAGTACATAACTTTAAAATAATCATTACTAAGTACTAACTTGTAGAGCATTAAAAAACGCTTCTATTGACCTATATTTTTGAACCTAATTCGATAATAAATTTCGAAATTACTGGTATTTTAAAAACCAAAAATTGTGAAAAATGACATTTTCTCAACTTTTTTGTTTGAAAATTTTTGTTTAACTATTAAATTATTGTAACTATCTTATAGGGTATTTAAAAATACATTGATTGACCCAAAATTCAATCACTTTTACCATATTTATAAAAAGTTATTCATATATTTCTATTACTTTTATTCTTATATGAGGAAGTAAAGTGTTCATGAAATGAGCACCAAAATTATAATATTATAAAAAAAATATACAACTTGGCAGCGGTTTTTTTATTTTATAATTAATTCAAAATTGTAATGATAAATAGAAATCATCAGAATTTTTTTCCCTTTTATCATTAAAAGACTAAAATTTTGTTAAATATTATGTTTTGTCAAATTGAAATTATGCAGATTTTTGTTTTTTACTT